TAAAGTCCTTTATTTTCTCCTAAGTCATTAGGATCTTACTGATTGGTAACTAGTTGTCATATAAGCCTTTTCACCATAAGTAATTAATTCCTCCTTTATCTATTTAAATATTTACAAACTTTTGAAAGCTTGTTTTTACTTTTATTCTTGACAAGTAAGAATATATGTAAGCTTTGCAACTTACATCTTGATGTTGACGTATGGACTTAATGAGATGTGGCTTGAATCTTAATGCTTATTTCACAAATCGCTGCCCTTTGTTGACTTGTCTTATCCTCGAGCATAAGCTAATAACATCAAAATGTATGTGAATTTAGTGATAAAATGATGGTATACAAAGTGATCCCACTCAGCTGCGCTTGCTACTTATTTATAAGGATCGAATATGAATTAGAGCTACGTGGCTAGGTATAAAGCTCTCAAAGGCTATTTGGACAAACGCTACCATTGCCTCTTGCATTTGCTCTATACAATTTCATGTACGTTTTATCTGCTATGAATAATTGTGTTTGGGAGAAAAAATACTTCGCTTTTTTTTCAATTGATTAATTATTAATAAAACATGAAATATTTAAATGTGTTTTGACCGTACTTTGAAATGAATGAAATATGCATAATTTCTAATTGGCAAAATAAATTACAATACAGTATGATTTTATATGATCTTGGTCACCCTAGGTCGCTTAAGCTGATTCAAAGGCTGATCGTCAAGTTTCCTACCATGAGAATAGTAAGCCTCAGAATTCCATTGCATTTCTTTAGCCTTGCCTCCCAAAGGGCTGTCTAACTGAGGATGGAATGCTAGCCTATTGCAAGGAACACTTATAGTATGATTACCTAGCAAACAATATTGTATATGCTGTTACAATCGACGATTTCCCTTAATTTCGGTATAAGCTAGTTTTCGCAACTCATTAATTCTTGAATAAGAACTTATTCACCAAAGATAGCTTAAGATGATATGGAGGAGGTCTGTGTTGCCTTAAATGCCACATCTGCCATGTTTCCTTGAAGAGAAGTGATAACGTCACCATGATGCTCAAGATCCTGTATATAATAACGCTGGGGGAGGGGGATGTGATAACACCCGAGTGAAGTTGAAAGTGCAATCTACTCTGGATGAGTTAGCCTTTTGGAAGAAATGGGTAGGGGAAATTAATACTCATCTCATTGTAGGAATACTCAACTATCATTTCATACATCACTTCAAATGATTTATAGGAGCTAAGTTCTTACTCAAGAATTAGGGATAGTCTCGAAATTCACTTATATGGCAAATATATGACTCTATGCTTATAACATTGTGTAGATACGAAAAATAACTGGCTTTAGATTAATCTCTCAAGATGGCATTATAAAATAGTGAAGCCAGCAGCTTAAATTCTTATTGATTCCTGAGAAAAAACGTAAGTCTAAGTTTTCAATATTTTTAACTAAGGGCTTAGTTATTTGGTTGCTGAACCGACTTGTAGCATCCCACTGTATGCTTCTTCTAAAAGCCAGTTAGGCTGAAAAGACTCTATGAAAACTTTACAGAAATTTGCAGTTCCCCATTATGTGGACCCGAATGCAAGTCTGGGAGATGCGTTAAATATACATACCGACATCCTTGGGCTCAAAGTTCCAGGAGAAATCGAATTCATTTATCATCATCGACTGCCCATATTGCTGCCCATTACTTACGGCTGCCGCAGTTGCTGCTGATACTGAGGCAGCCAGCATCATCTCTGCTGTACAAGTCACAGCTTTTTGACGCTTTATCCCAGCCGGCTCAGATAGTTGACTTTCGAGATGGCCAGAAAATGGCTCGGTAGCTCCAGTAAAGTTGCAATTGAGGCCGACTTGACAGGAGCTATTTATGCTGGGTGAAGAAGAGGAGGAACCTGGTACCGTCGAGGCGTTATAGTCGGTTACATGAGAAGGGCGTGGAGAAGATATACTCGAAGTGGCTTCGAAAAGAAGAGGAGTAGATGGAGATGATGTAGCAAATGCATTGATCGGAATGATAGAGGGTTTGGGCGAAATAGAATCGGGTGAAATGTTGGCTGTTTCTTCGGATCCGAAAGGGGATTCTGGGCCGCTTTCGATTACTTGGCTACCCATAAGATAGATGTTGGCATTCTTTTCTATTTTTCCTGGTGCGGGACTGTGTGTGGCAGGGGAATTTGGACCAATTCTGCTATCACTCCGAGCTAATCCATTGACTGATGCCAGGCTTTTTGCGGCAGGCGCCGATGTTGAGGCTGAGCAGGAGGGTGATGTTGGGAGGATCATAAGTGGGGGGTCGTTAAGATGCAGGAGACTGGGTAGGAATGGAGCCATCGGCATACGCTGACCTAAAGAAAAGGCCGATTGACCTCTGTCACTGGGTGTATGAAGTG